TTCAACATTCCCCACATCTCATATCGTTCTCTCTCTATTAACTTTCAGCTGATATTTTTTTTTTTTTTTTTTTTTTTTTGTTGAGAAAGAAGCAGCAAACCTGGACATGGAATCAAGATTCCTAGGTCCAGTCCAAGGCTCACTAACAAGCTGTGTGTAATTGTGGATAGTGTGTCTGGGCCTCACTTCTCTCATCTGTGAGAGGCCACGGAAGGTGGGTGGAAGAGATCAGAGATTTTCAGTGTGGCCTGAAAACACACCCATACAGGGTGTGTCTGTGAGTTCCATGATCAGGGAGTCAGCAAACGACAGGGGGGCAAAAGTTGTTTCTTCAGGTGTTATGGAATAAGGTTGATTTTAATAAATTTCATCTCTAAGTTCTGCTGTGGGTGGTTTACTGGTACCAGGTGAATTATCAAGAGTTGCTGAAATTTGGTGTCATTTTCATTCTTCTTGTCTGTGGTCCTCTATTAACTCTCACTGGAAAGATGCAGTAGGTTGGGGAGGTAGGGCTGTGGTCAGAGAAGTTCAAGAACCACAAATATCCCTCTCAATGCTCTCTTTTGTGTGTAGAGTTATGATTTGCTGAAATCAAGACATGTTGGTGTGAGCTTGCTCCTACAGCTTCTTCTCTTATACTATCATCACGCTCCACATTTTTCCAACTTCCCCTCTCTCTTTAGAGGTAAGGAACTCTTTCCTTTCTAAAGGTAGTTAGTCCTTTTAATGTAAGCTGAAGTCATTCCCACCGGCTCCGTCACTCCTTAGTGATCGCCCTCTTTTATTCAGTTGATTCTGGCCTTGGTTCTTTGCCTACGCATATGCTTAGTGTTATCTTATTGTAAAGCGGCAATAGTCACATACATCCCTTTCCTCATCCATGAACTTTCCTTAACAGCCCCTGTCCCCGCCATGTAATCTGCTCAAAGAACTCAGCATAGTATGACTAGTGACTCACTTTGAAAGTGACCTCATCTGCTTAAGTCCAGGGATCTTTCTTTGTGGCCTGCATTTCTTTATTTTACCAGTTCTTCTACATGAACACTAAACACTTAGGAGAGAGCAGCTTCCCCCAGAATCTGTTTTTCAGGTTACCAACAGTGGCTAGAGTTAGCCTATTTGCAGGCTTTATCTGCAGTCCTGTCTGTATTGAGTGTCCTGCTGCCTAGGGTGTCTAAGTGACGTTATGGAAACTTCCCCCCATCTTATTCTATATATTACTACTCTAGGAACAGTGACTTCATGTGTTTCCCAGAGGCTGCTGACAGGCAAGAAGCTCTGTGGCTCAAGGCTGAGCTCTCTGCTACTTTTTCTCTGTAAAAAGTGTTCCCTGGCATCGTGGCCAGCCCCGCAGCAATCCACATACAGAAGCTGTGGCAGCCTATGTTGGAGATTCAGGCCGTGCTAAGTCAGACCAACTAGTTTTAACATGCTCCACCTCTGAGACTTAACCAGCTGTGTGATTTCCTTGACCTTCAATTACCTCCTCTGTTAGCAGTGATACCTGCCTTTTAGGCTTATAGAAACTCAAAGGAAAATACTTGCAGAGGGCTTGCCATGGCAGCCAGCCAATGAAAGTTAGTTCTCTTTTCCTGTAAGACAGCAACCTCGGAACACAGGCCTGAAACTAGAGACCACTGACCTTCTTGACACAATAAATTAGGTTTTGTTTCTATCTTAAGAGGTAACTTCTCATTGTTCCTTTAATTTTTTTTCTTCCAAATGGACTAAAATGGTTAGAACGGTTATTTCTGAATGCACAGATTAGTTGTATATTTTTTGAATTTCTCTAATTTTCACAATATTTTATATCATCAGAAAAAGGAAATGTTATTTTAAAAATACAGACTCCTTCCATTTAAAGCAGTTGATTGAACTTCACCTATTTACTAAGAAAAGGTCTTTGAAAGTTTTATTCTTTTTGCCTTCACCGTGCATTCTGCAGCCAAATTTTAAAAGCTTGTCTTAGCTACATTTAAAAGGTCTAAAGGCAGATCACTTTAGAGCAAGATCTCCTGCTGCCTCTTTTCTTTGTAAAAGTGTGGCGCCCAGGCCAGTACCACTCACCAGAAAACTTTTGAGATATACAAATACTCAGGCCCACTCCAGGCCAATTAAATCAGAAGCTTCCATTGTTGAGAGGTAGAACAGTGATAAGGTTTTCACAAACTCTCCAAGTGATTCTTAATTTTGAAAGCACCTGTCCCTTGTGTCCTATTCTTTTCAAGTCTCTGGAACGAGCGGCCATGGCCTCTCACTGCTATATTCAGATCACTCTCTCCAGTCACTGGGTGACCCAGCCAGGTCAATGCTAGGAGCACAAGCACATCAGGGCCACGGGTAAATGCCGTCAGTGACAGAACCATCTGAAGGAGGCCACTGAAGGATGTGGAGAAGCAGAAGTCCTTCCACTGGCTCCACAGCTTCCCTAAGAGTCATTTCTGGGCTAAGCTTGCAGACCTCGGGGTCTGTGATGAGCGAAAGTGCATCGAGGAGAACCTGGAGCCCAAGGTTTTGGTCTGGGTGTGTGAAGCTGATCTGCCTGGGGTGCTGGGCACCAATGCCTCCCTAGCCTCCCTGTCTCCTCTCACCTTCCTCAGGGCAGCAGCAGCGGTTGGGACAGCAGGGACAGCGAACGTAGCAACAGCAGTACTGGGGACAGCACTGACACCAGCACACTCCGATCAGCAGCAGGAGGAGGAGGGCTCCCAGAATGATGAAGATCACTGTCAGCCAGTCTGCAGGGGAGAAGCCGAGCAGGGTGAATGAGACAGGCAGGGGAAAGCTTTCAGTCATGCAGCTCTGCACCTAGAGGTTAAGGCTGAGCAAAAATGTGCTTAGCCACTAAACATTTTGAACATTAGATGTTCTCTTAAATTTAAAACAATGTAAGAAAACTTCAGAGGGGGGCAATCCAATAGCAATAACTTGGGCTTACTCCTGTTTATTTTTTTTTTAAGATTTATTTATTTATTTATGTATACAAAACTGGGGTACAGGCCAGAGGTGGGGTAGTGTGAGGATTCACCAGAGCTAGAGTGGGGAGCAAAATAGGCAGATAAACAGAGAACATGGCTGAGGGGAGCAGCAGGCGAGACAGGAGAGGTCTGCCTCACCAGGTGGGTCACCTCCGGGGCTGGGGATCGAACTCACACTGAAGCAGCTGCGGCTAGCTTGTAGTGCTGCATCCTAACCCATTGCGCCACCAGGGAGGGCCCATATTCCTGTTGTTGTTTTATTTTAAATGTCAAAGAGCATATCGTGACAGGGAGGCTAGACAGCAAGTTTCAGGAGCACTTACGCAGGACGATGAGCTTCACCTCCTTGTCTGGGTCTCCTGACGTATCCCCTGGAGCTTCAATGGTGCAATAATACACCCCATGGTCCCACCACATAACTTCATTAATCACAAGATCGGCTCCTGCCACAAAGGAGGAAGAAAGTGCTAGTGGTTAAAAGAAGGGGACTAGTTTCTGAGCTAGAGGAGGTTTGAGACTCCAGTGCTGTCCTTTCACATCCTAAGAGGGTCATGACAGTACAGAGAAAGACCTCAGTTTCTTCCTTTGAGACTTTTCTCTCTCTCCAAATAGAACAATGACGGTATAACTGATCATTCAGTGAAATTTTGGGTACATCATCTCATTTAAGTCCCAACAGAACACTGCAGTGGGTGCGGTAGAGATTGCCAGGTGTTTTCCAGTATCTGTTTTCTCTTTCTCCCATGGTCACAGGGTTTTTAATCACATGTTGAATAAAGATGTCCAGAATAAGCTTAATATATCCCACTTTCTCATACAACTGGGCATGGACATGTGACTCAGCTCTGGCCAATAGAATGAGTGTGGAAGTGTCTAATGACGTCCCTCAGGAATATCCTTTTAAAAGACCTGGCAACAGTGTTACCCTTTTCTTCTTCATTTTTTCTACTCTGCTATCTGGAAAGCAAATCTGATAGTTACCATCTTCAAACAGAAGAAAATGACATTACCAGTGGAACTGAGCCACCACATTGGTTTTGTCCCTCTGTTAACCTCCAAATTGTGCATGAGATGAGAAACAAACCTCTTCATTGGTTTAATCACTAATATTTTAGGTTTTTGCTAACTTGCAATCAAACTTAATCTGGATACAGTGGGTATGATAATTAGCTGCATTTTATATAAGGAAACCAAGATAATAGGAGGCTAAGGAACTGGACTAGGAACATACAGATGATGCTTAATAAAAGCAGCTCCAAAACCATGTTTCTCTGCCTCAAAACTGTGACTTTCAACCACTAAGCTCTATTGCCCTCGCCAAATTGGATAGAAAACTCTTAGCAGCCTACAGTAAATGGTAAACTGTGGCTGTTGGTGGGACAGGTTATGTGACGAACCTGAATAAGTAAGGGTGAAATGAAAAATGTTAGGAGAAGAATGTCAGTTCTCATGAGCACCGCATTAAGGTAGATGAATGGTTATATTCAAGTGTAGTAAATGCAATAATGTTCACTAAAGGCTTTTGTGGGTCCAGCACTATTTCAGACACTGTGGGACTTCTGTCCTGAAAGCCTGAAGTCCTGCAAGAGTCATCAACACGGACTCTAAATCCCTGATGTCTGACTTGCAGTGAGCGCTAGGGACATCTTCACATTTCTAAAGACCTAACATCACAGATTCACTCTTGCTTACTTGGCATGCATAGCTGCAATTCTGTTTGTCAAGAAATATTTATTGAGGAAATGAAACAAAACTGCGAGGTCATGCAACAGTGAAGCTAACTTCAACTTCTGTTTCCTTCACTTTCTACGTCAATTCCTATGATTTTTTTCCTACCCACAATTTTCCAAACTCACTGTCTTTCCCAGAAGTAAACTTACCCCAGATTTGGAAAAACAGTAAAAGTGCTTTGGAAGGCAATTCTCCCTCAAAGAGTAATGTGTATTATAAATTTGTCCCAAATTTTATTGGAGACGCAAAGGTTATTTTAGGGGTGTCAGAGTAATGAGGGTATTCAGATACATTATTTTAATTGATCCAAGAACTGATTTGACATGGTTATTTCAAAGCACTGGCATAAAAGTGTCAGAAAACAAGGATTCTAGGAAGTCACAAAAAGTCTGGAGGTAGAAATAAAAATGAGGGAAAATACTGCTTTCCTATGAGAATAAGAGAGAGGCAGAGTTTGATCCAACGTGGTTGGGAAGAAATAGTGGACAGCACTGCTCAAAGCTAGGAGAAAATACTGAAGAGCTAGGGTTTTTATCCTCCAAAAACTATAGAGTTGCTAGTTAAAGAGGCTCTAAGCTTTGCAGTTAGATCAGAGCTTTCTGGAGAAAGGAGAACCATTCTGACTCCATGAGGAAGCACCTAGGGGCTGGAAAAGAAAGTCAATGTTCCCTTAAGGCCAGGGTTCAGGGGCTGATTTGGGGAAATCAGAGGTTGAATGCAACAGGCTCAAACTTAAATATTACAGTTAAAGTATTACAAAGTTGGAACCACTTGTTAAACTGACTCCCTCAACACTCATGATTTCTTTGCATTGTTGCTGTGGATATCCTGAGTGGTCTGCTGGGTATGTTTCTCCTCATTTTTCTTTTAACCAGCAAATATTTAACCCAGCATATAAAGTTCACTGAAATTTATTTGAATTCTTTGCCAACAACCATGGATTAAATGATAGGAATGGGGCGGAGGAGGGGTGTTAGTGCAACCATCTAAAAGTGTGCTGAGTGATCATAACTAAATTTCACTGCATACTCACTATTTGCCAAATGCTTTGAGCGTATCATCTCACTTAATCCTTACAAGTCTTTAGGAGATAGGTACTATGCTCTCAAATATCACATTTGGCATGCACTTCAGTGTGGGAGACATACCATCACACCCATCTTTCGGATGAGGTAACAGAGGCCAGAGGAAATGACTGATTTCTCTTGGCCACTGAGTGATTGAGTAGGGCACTAAGTCAGCCACCCAGGTCAGTGATTCTAAGCACAATGCTTTCTGATATTAATGGAGGCTGAGTGTCTCCAGGGGTCCTCTATTGGGAATGGCTTTTTCTTTAGGTATAGGCAACAGGAGTGACCAGAGAGGTACCCAGAGGCCTGAGGCTTGAGCAGACCCTGAGAGCAAGTTGTGGCAAGGACGAAAGGAGCCTGAGCCACTCCCTAGCCTGGCATCTCAGGGAAGCAAGGAAAACACCTACTGCCAGACCCTGAGCCATGGTGTAAGGTATCCCTTGGCCTGGAGACCAATTCCAGGGCAGCAACTTCAGAGGGTGCAGCTGAGTCTAGTTTCTCACTCTTTCCACAGACAATGATACTGACCAAGCATAGAATGAAGCAGCAGCAGAAAAAAAAAAAAAAAAAAAGGGAAATCCCCACAGTGACTCAGCCTGTGAGGCCTGGGTCTGCCACCCAGGTCCCTACCACCACCTCCCTCTCACTCACGGTTCTGGATGGTGATCTTGCGCTGCCGGTAATCCACCCCCAGCACGGGCTCATTCTGCCCCCGCCTCTGCGCCACGATGCGAACTTCCCTCTGGTTGTCATTGCAGTCATTGGATGGGTCCTGGCCCAGGGAGAGAGCTGCCTGGTAAGCTGAGGAAAGAGAACACACCCAAGTCACACGGCAATGGGGAATTCCCATGCGAAAAGGTGCCCTGACTGCTCCCTGGAGCAGGGGAGCCTCTCAGTCTTCCTTGAGCCTCTGCTCCCCTGGAAAGCTGGTTAAACACAAGAGTCTGATCCGGGAGGTCCAGATGGGAATCTGAGGTTCTGAGTGTCTATTGAACCCCCAGGTGATACCAGTTAAAGCACACGTTTGAGCAGGAGGCCCCTTCTAATGGCCTGTCATTTCCAAATCCTGACTGTAATTCCCTCTCCACCCCAACTTTACTGTCTCATTTTCAGTCACCCTCTACTCTTTCCCACAGCGTTCATCCACCTGCCCTTCCAATACAGAGTTTAAGAGCAGTTAAATCTGCTATTGGCCAGTGCCAACTGCCTGTCTCTCCTACCTTCCCATCTAATCCCGGCATTTTAAGAGTAGCTCCCAGGAAACAACGTCTTAATTTAGAGGGATCTTTGGGGAACACTATCAAACTGAGTGGGTCGTTCAGGCAGGCTTGGGATTCATACCGTGAGACATTAGTCAGGGCTAAAAGAGGGAAAGCTGATATTGCCTGTTCCTTTTCCTCATCTCAGGAAGCTCACTTCCTTTTTTTTTTAGATTTTATTTATTTGTGCATACAGAACTGGGGTACAGGCAGAGGTGCAGGGACGGTGAAAGGCTTCACCAGAGCCAGAGTGGGGAGCAGAACAGGCAGATTGACAAAGTACACTGCTGAGCAGAGCAGTGGAGGGGTCAGTTGAAGTCTGCCACACCCTGTGGGTCACCTCTGGAGCAGGGATCAAATTCGTACTGGCTTGGCTTAGCTTCAGTGCTGTGCTTCAACCTGCTGCGCCACCAGGGAGGGCCAAGCTCACTTCCTGTGAGGAGAAAAGGGCATCTATTTTTCTTCCCAAAATCTCTACAGGGTGGGTTGTCCTCAGCTGATGGTGGGTGTCCGGGTTCCTTTGTTATTTGAGAGAGACAGTGGGTGACTAGGAAAGAACTTGGGTTCCACAAAGCAGAACTGACATAGCTGCTCTTGAGAAGCAGGATTTGGCTAAACACAGAGGGAACTGGCAGCACCCAGATGCCCAGTAAGGACCAGGCTGAGGGGTGAGCTCTCCCCCACAGGAGTATCAGGTCAGTGTGGAAAGGCTGCTCCTCAAGAAAGCTGACCAGGGAAGGAAACAGCTGGCAGAAGGTTCACAGAGACCCACTCTTGCCTCTTGCGGGTAGAGCAATCTTCTCGTGAAGTGATGGGAGGTGGGAGGCAGACTTGCATCCTCGCTGCAGCATACTAGCAAACAACCAGGAATGGACTGCACCGCCTCAGTGTCTGAGCTACCTTCAATCTTTTTACGCAAGGTGAGACTTCAATTTTTAAATAAATAATGTGGTATGAGACCTGGAAGGAGTAACTTCACTTCCCTGGGCTCAGTTTGTTTATGGGTTGTCAGAAAAGTCACAACACATTTTTTCTCTGTGTGTGTGTGTGTGTGTGTTTAAATACTTATTTATTTATGCATACAAGAACTGGGGTATAGGCCAGAGGTGTGGGAGGTGAGATGATTCACCAGAGACAGAATGGGATGCAGAAAATAGACTGAGGTACAGAAATACACGGCTGAGGGGAGCAGCGGGTGGGGCAGGAGAGGTCTGCTATGCCCTGTGGGTCAGCTCCGGGGCTGAGGGATCAAACTTGTGCTGCAGTGTCTGGTGATAGCTTCATAGTGCTCCACCACCAAGGAAGTATTTTTTCTGTTTTGGTTGTAACAACAAGTCATGACTTTTCTGACAACCCAATGTGAAGTGAGGGGATAGCATTAAATGATTTTTGTGACTACTTCCCTCTGCAAGGATTTGTGATCCTAAACAATTCCTACAGCGTAATGGCAGTACTGCACAGAGGACCCAGGGAAAGCCAGAAGGGGAGGCACTCACATGCAGAGTAGTAGTCAAAGATGGGGTCTTTGCAGAAGGACTTGAAGCGCCACGTCACCACCACGTCCTGGAGCTGGGCAGAGGTGGTGTAGTCACATTTGAGGATGACAGAGGCAAACAGGGTGACATAGCGTTCTGTGTGCTGGACTGTCACCAGCAAGGACAGGCAACCTGCAGCCAAGAGCAGGAGACAATGCTGAACGCAGACCAAGTCTCTGACAGGTAACCTACTCCTGCTCATGGGATAATAAAAGCAAGGCAAATGAGTGAAATATCAATACACTGCCCGTTTGGTTGGGAGCTCAGAGACAGAGGTTGAATTCTTACAAACCTTGGCAGCGTGTGAGGTGGAGACTGCAAAGGTGCCCTGGAGGGAAGTGGGAGAACGAGCAAGCACCACTCCCAGAGAGCTAGTCCATTAAGAGTGATAATGTATTCAACAGCAATTATAAAGAAATTATAATGAAAGAAGGTTATGCATGTGTCCCGGAGTGACTTGACTTATACATATCTCAATCACATCTTGGAATGTTTCCACATTCCCTAAAGATAAAAAATTCAACCTTTGTAACCAGCCTATGAGGCCCATCAAATCTGACTTCAAACTTTCACAGCTGTCTCATCTCTCTTCACACTTAGGCTTTAGCCAGTCTGAGTCTTCCCCAGATTCCAGAGCTCGATTGTGCTTTCCCAGTTCTCCCACATTGGGTATCCCCTCTGGAGCACTCTTCTTGGTCAACAGTCATGACTCTTTGCCTTTCACTAGGCTAACTGCCATTCATTACTTAAGTCTCCAGTTGTGCCATTCATTACCTCCCACAAACGGCTTCCTTGACTGCAAGTCTGGGACAGAGCCCCACTCTGTTTTTCCAAAACTGACTTGTCTACCTCCAAGCAATGCTTTTCACACTTCCTAGTGATGTCTGCTTACTATAAAAGCTGGAGAATCAGTGTTCAACACAAGTCGCCATCACCTCCATGGCACCGAACAGATGTTTGTTGAGTGAATGAATGATGGAATGAATGACCAAAAATACATTAACCAATGAAAACTGTCCGTTCAGGTGGTTGACACAAACATAAAGCAAATAAAGCAAAAATGAGTCAGCATGTGACAAATTTTCAAGTGAGATCTGAAAAAACTAATAAGTTTTCTTTTTTAAAACTCCCTTTCCCACGTTTTGACATGGGTGGATTGGTAGAGAGTACACATGCACGTATGGAAGAGCAAAAATGAAACCCCCAAATTAAAAATAAAACTTCCTCTCCCTAACACCCTACCCCCAAACCTTCAGACATACTTAGAGCTGCAAGTCTGCCTTGATAAGGAAGCAGGCAGCACAACAATGTCAGGCGAAACTGGCACAGTCAGAAACATACCCATAATTAGCAACTTAGAATGTTCCTGTGCCAAGATGGTTTCTAGGCAAAGTTACAGATATTCCATGGGCAGTTTAGTATAGAGCAGGAGTGCTCAATCTGGAGCTTGCTCCAGCAGGAACTGTGACAGTTCACATCACTGTCAGGAGGCGTTTCTGACTCTGTTGAACTTTCTAACTCAACTTGGGTGAGGCCCAAAAACTTAACGTTTCTAACAAATTCTAGAAGTTGCTGATTCGATAGACCTGGGCACCAGACTTTGAGAACTATTGATATAGACTAGATTTCAGAAACCCAGGTTTTGAACTTAGATGCAATTGGATCCAAACCAAACTCCACCACTTATTTGGACTCTGGACAAGCTATTAACTCTTTCTGAGCTTGAGTTTCCTTGTCTGTGAGTGACGATTACAATACTGACCTCAACAGGTCCTAGCAAGCATATGATGAGGTAATCCATCTCCAGTGCCTGGCATGTCATCTGGCACGAGGTGCCTTGCTAGTGTCAACATATGAAATGCTCTCTTTTCCTTCATCCAGAGTTCAAACTGAAATTCTCTCCAATAGAGTTCTCAGGTTGAACTGCCTGCATGTGACCGAGTTACATCCATGAACAAGACACGGTCACCCCTCTGACCTGGCTCAGTCAGTGCACAGAGCCACATGTAGTTGCCTCTGAACATAGTCCTCATGTGACCATTCACTGTAGCTTATGATGGGCATCTGTACCTGCTTTTTCCATTTCCACAGAGAGAGCAAAATGCTTCTCAGGATAGTCTCTGGTCCCCAGAAATGACCAGAAAAGTTTCTTCACCTCTATAATTAAGATGTATGTGCTCATGACATCTGTGACAGAGAGGTCTGCGAAGGGGCTGGGGAGACCTGAGGAAAAGAATGACTTCACAGAAGCAAGAGACGTATGCTGAATCCAGAGATTTAGACGGGATTAAAATCACACATGAGAAGAAGGGAGAAGACACAGAGGCTCACTTTTTCCAGTGCCTGGAAGGAGGGAAGAAAAGAATGAACAAAGGCACTTATCAGGAAAGGACAATTATTCAGGGAACCTGGAGGAAACCACCCTCCAGTGTCTCTGACATTATGGGAGACAGAGGGGATAAGCAGGGTTGTGATGGAGGGTGTGAAGATGGGTGGGGGCAAATCACATTCCAATCTACTTCTAGCCAATGGATAATCACTAGGGTTTTTCTGGAGAAGGTGAAAGTAGTGTTTTGAGGAAAGTAACATTTTAAGGAAGACTTCCTTATTTAGCTGTGAATGGAAAAAGAACATCATTCTGAAAATACATGGACTAGTTTGGGGGGAAATAACTTGCTGTATCTACCAACTGTAGGATTCCTGGAAATCACTGCAATGAGAATGATAGAACTGGTGACCAGCACCCCAAACTCAACTTGGACTACTGGTAATCTGCTTTCTTAACAGTTGCTTCTCCTCTCTTACCAGCGCTTTGATTTTCAGAACTGACCTACAATACATCTTAGAGCTTTTACCCAATTGCATATTAACTGACTAGCAGAAGAAGTTACAGATAATTGATTTCAACAATGAACAGGATGCCACCATCATCCTAGGTTATTTTGTTCAGGACTGCAGTATGGGGTGGACTCGAGAGGAAATCATTGATGTGTCGCCTAAACAAAACCCCAGGTTCACATAGCACTTCAAATATCTTCTTTTGCACACAAATATGATCATTGGGAGGAGCAAAGTCCATTCAATACACAGCAAATCCGAGACTGGTAAAGGTACGTGAACTTTGTGTGATGATCTATCTTCTAAGGAGGTCTGAATCAAGATTTTGCTCCTGAGCAGTGTTCAAATGACTCTGCCTGGAAATTCTATAAGTATAGGAAAATGTTTGGTATTGATTAGCTTAGACATAATTGGTACACAGGACTAGGCTAATTAACACACAATTAGTTGCAGTCACTTATATCATGATTAATAACCTACATGTTCTTTTTTTTGCTGAATGGCAACTGAAGATAAGCAACAGCATTCAAAGGACTCTGGACAATGGTACTTGTGTAGAGATGGAACATTTGGAGGGAAGGAAAGTTTGCTGGGGGTCAGAGAGTGGAATATAGTTGGAGCCAGAAGCTGCCGTAGGGCAGCTTTACAGACTGTGGTATCTCTACACACAATGGAATATTACTCAGCAATCAAAAAAGATAAACTCATGCCATTTGTGGCAACATGGATGGAGAGGGAAAGTATCATGCTTAGTGAAATAAGCAGAAAGAAAAAGAAAAAACACCAGATGGCTTCATTCGTAGCAGGAGTGTAAAGGGGTCAAGGGTAAAAATAAGCAATTGTAATAAAGTAAAAATGAAAATCAACAAGCAACTATAAACAGAGACATTCTATGGCAGAGGAGAGGGGAACACATGGGACTATGGTGATGGCACATGGATGAATTGCTGTTGGGAAGTCCATGGGGATTACAACTGAGATGAAAAAATGTACAAAATGAATAATTATTAAATCATTCATGTAAATCATAATTTTTTAAATTACATATGTGTATATAATTTTTATTGTGTATAATAAAAAATAAAAATGAGGTATCCATAAAAAACAGGTTATTGTATCTGACACCCTGAGGGAGTCATTGTTAAATCCTTCCTCAGCTTCCCTTCCATGAAGAATATCTTTAGTATGGGCCAACCACTGCCACATCTGGGGTGACATGAATCACCTTTACTAACATCAGCACTGGCTTTGCTGCCTACGTATGTCTCTGATTTCATCCCTTTTTGTGTAATTTCAAAACTTGAAAAAAGTCAGGTGCCCACATGCTTTGGCCATATTGAACTCACCGTCTCTCCAGTGGTCTGGCAACCCACAGAATCCTGCACAACTCTCAGACCTTCTTCTCATATCCCACCCCCACTCCCCCGAACCCCCAGCATACACAGACATTGGATCTCTGGACAAAAGGTGCAGAAAACCTCTTCCCTTCTTCCCAGCTACTGCTCTGGGTCTCAGCATATTCTGCAGGTCAAACAAAGTACATACCTGATCTTTAAATCTCACAAAGGCCCCTAGAGTGAGGTTTGGTCCTGGTCATTTATGTGGTTACGTAAATTCAGAGACCTCACCAACTCAAGATTTGAACCTGGGTCTTGCTGACACCAAAACCCAAACATTCCCAAGTAGGCAAGCTTGACTTTTCAAGTGGAAGTCAGGTGTTAGACTCTCAAAAGCAGGAGAGTTTTCCAGATTGAGGGTGAGTAGGGAGGGGGGAGAAAAGGGAAGAAGAGAGACAGCCCATTCCACAGGCAAACACCTCCGATCATTGTTTTCCTTTAGCCTCCAGATTCTCTGGAAAACTAGCCACATGAGGCATACACAGTACTTGAGATTCTCAAGAGCAAAATCTAGGCTGAAAATAGTAACAGATTCAGAAAGATAAAATATCCTGTTTACAGACGTACTGTTTGCACCTTTGCTCTTTTAAATTAGGACCTATGGTTTTTCAATTCTTAACTGTTCTTTCTAGTCTTAAATTTCCTCCATCCTGTGGCTTGTCTTTGTTTCCAGCTTATTACCACCTAGTTAATATCCTAGCTATCTCTATCAGTTCCTCTTGAAAACCTTAGTGCTGGAGCCTGTATTCCTGAATTCTGATTCTGTTTTTATACCCTCATCAGCTAAAAAGCCTGGACAAACTCATTTCCAAACTATAGTTGCTTCACTATATGCAAAACTGAGGTAATAATATTTGCCTGGTAGGGTTACAGTGAAGATTAAATGATAATAAATAT